GTGTGCAGCTACTAGGGGCTTCCTAAAATTAATAAAGTGCTCACTTCGTCTTTTGACGTCTCCAACTAAACCTTCTTCTTCTCTCCTTGCTATCTAACTGCCTACCGAGCCATAAGTGTTATAGACAGATTACATGTTGCCGTGATATGCGGTAACCGTACCGCCCAACAGGGTTGTTTCGTGTTCGTCTGTTGTGTTTTACAGCTGTTTCATGCAAAACAAATAAACCCATTTATTTGGGTACCCCCCCCCCCCCCCCTTTGCTTTGTGTGTGTTTTACTTTTGCAATGGACCCCTTCATTACATAAGTAGGTATATTGTTTAAGTAAGGAGGGGCTTTTGGTAAGGGCCCTTGACAAGCGTGGAGAGCGGGACAGCTGGCCAAGAATGACGAAGGTGGGATACGAGGACAGACGCAATTACGAGAGACGGGGAGTGACGCCAAGGATGGACAGGATGGCGAACAAGGCGCGGCTACCGTGGGGCCTGTGCGTGAAGGCCTCGAGTGCTGGAAAGGCAGACCGGCTGACCGATAGAGACTGGTGACTTCAGTGCGGCAGGCCAGATCACATGGCCGGTAGCTACGCACGAGGCGGTGAGATGATGGCGACGGAGAAAGCGGAACGGACGGAATACCAGCGACGACGGGGTGTACAAGTGTAGAAAACCCAAGGGCAGCGATGCCATCGAGAACGGAGATTGCAGATGAAGTGCGAACCGTCGCACTTAGCGTAAGGGCGCCATAGCTAAGAGTACGACGGAGGAGAACGGTGCCGGTACGACGCTGGTCAGTTCGAGATTTGCGCGATCAGAGACAACACCGAGAGCGTGAACGTGTGCCAGGCTAAGGGCCATCTTAGCACAAGCGCTAGCGAGTGTGAACACCGGTTTGGTGCGAGCACAGGAGAAGACAAATAACCAGAAGCAATATATTGAAGTTACCTGAACAAGCATCTAGTTGAGTCAACAAGAGGAGCCGACTAAAGAAGCCACTGTCTTGGGATTACTAACATCGTCGAGGCAGGCCTCGCGACATTACGTTGCTGGAAGTGGAGCCATGAAGGACTGGTTAGCACGCGAGCCAGACCGACGGACTTGCCCGTGAATATCTCCAAGCAAGCTATTCCCTACCTGAGAAACTCCAAGACGAACGGAGTGTAAGGGGCGTGCACTAGTACCTGGACTTTTAACGAACGGAAGCCCTACATATTCGATAGTGTATATTGTATAAGAGGTTGAAGGGCGTTACTAGCCGCCGAAATTCTCTGATCTGTAGTCAGGAGGATTCGGAAAAGGTACAGGACGTAGCTGATAATTGCGAGCTTTCTCCTATCTACCGTGTAAGCTAGTGACGGATAAATACCTGGCCCGTTACAACTTTACTCTGTTGTACACTTTGATTTACTTATTACCTAGGGTTAGTATGTGTTTTCACAATGAGGTTGGTGTACAAATCATAATCATGTCTACTAGAGAGCGTTTATGCGCTCAAATAACTCGGTCAATTTTTACCATTTCTTAAAGGCAAAAACTGGCTGAGTTATACTCATGTACTGATAGTGCATCAGTACGATATACCGAATATCACTGCGAAATGCAACCATCGTATAAAGTGGATAATTCGGTATGTAAAAAGTCTTTTTTTTAGATACACTTGACATATCTATACTTCGTAAAAAATATTTACACGTTTCTGGCGAGTTATGTCGGTACTGAACGAGGAGGAAGAAGAAGAGAAGTAGTATCTGTGAGTTGTCAAAAAGACCAAGTTGGTGTATTGGGAGAGAGCGCTAGCTCTTGCAGATGATTGGTGTAAGGAGGGTGAGCCTTATGCTATGGCTCACTCTATAGCATACTCTACTCTAGTCTAACGGCTTTAAAAGTTTTTTTTTTACTGACTGGATCTCATTTCTTGGGTACACCATACCGCTCAACAAAGAGGCTACTTCAATAGCGTTTAAGTGTTCAAGACAGATTGCATGTTCCCTGTGATATACGATAAAAGTACAACCCAACAGGGATTAATTTGTGTTTGTTTGGTAGGACAGGTAGCATCTAATCTTGGAATGAGCTAAATTAATGTAGATGAGTCATGAGTTAGACTGTTGAATGTAAATATTAACCAAAGGCGTACATAGCTGCAGAGTAGTTTGCTCATCAGTCTCAGCACCTTCTCTTGTTGGGACATTTTCATTCGAAACTGCACGCTTCCTTACCTTTTTCCAGCGCGCTATCGCGTGAAATTGACAGAGTAATATCTTCGCTCTTGGGAATGCCGCCTTCAGGGTCCCCCATTCCACCAAGTCCTTGTCGATCACCACAGACTCCATCTGCTTCCAGGCTGGATTCTTTTCTTCGAAGTACTCTAGAATTCTTGATAACGTAACCGCCTGCTCGTTGAGGCTAATGAAGTCAACCACTGGGAATCCTCGTCCTGTTGCCGTGATGACGACCAAACTTCCTAAATAGAACATCCAGTTACAAAACAAAGTAGTGGCTGCTAAAAAAACACCATTAAGAGCGTAGGTGACATAGGCATTTTCTACTGAATATAATTCTTGAGGTCGTGCAATCACGTCTTGATCAACTCAAGGAACAACCTGAGGAGGAAACAGATGAAACAACTGAAGAGTCTACCAAGTAATAAATAACGCAT